TGCAGACCGCAGGAAGCCTGAGGCCCCCAAGGACCCAGCGGGAGCGTGGCCAGAGGCAGGCTGCAGAGGGTGGATAAAGTGGGCGTGGAGGGGGCTGGATTTGAAGCCAGTTCGCACCAGAAACAACTGTCTCTGTGAGAAGAAACTTCTTTTTGCAGGCTAGGGGAAAACCACTGCTCGTGCTTGTTAAGTGACTCCTTTGAAATGCACTTGGAGCCGGAGGGCGCTTTTATCTGAAACAACTGGGGGGCTGGCGGGCCAGGCAGGTGCGGTGCAGTCCCCGCTGACCCCAGCGCAGCCCGGAGCTGAATCGGGGAGACGCACGAAGACTAGACTCGCTCCTCGTGACGCCAGGGCGATGCAGAGCGGGGCAGAGAGCCAGGGCAAGGATGCAGGAATGTTAGCAGCGAACCCGTGACCTCGTCAGTAATCAAAGATGAAGACACAGATCACTGTTTGCCTGCCAACACCGCGGCGAGGCCTGAAGTGATGATACCGCTGGCGAAGTGCGGGACTGAGTGCGCTGCTGGTGGGGCCTGAATTGCTATCACCTTTAGAGAAGCGAATTGGCAACAGGTTTGAGAAGTCTCGGGAAAATAAGTCATCTCCTTGGCATTTCTAACAATCCACCTCAGGAGTAATTCAAAACAGAGTGCACGCCCCAAGCCCACTGCCTCTGGGAGTGGGGCGGCAAGAGCCCGGCGGGGCGCGGGCTGCCGGGGGCGGCAGGCAGGGCTGGTGCCCTGCGCAGCTGGCCGCTCAGACGAAGAGGGGACGGGCCCGCCCCCCGCGCCCTGGGGCCTGCGCACGCCCGAGGACGGGCACCTGCATTTCACCCGAAGGGGAAAAGGAAAGGGGGGTCCTGAATTCTACTTTTGCTAAGTCGGGCAGCCGCACGCCGCGGTGTGAGATGCTCTGGCTCACGAGGACGCGGGCAGAGGTGCTGGGCTGCACGCGTGTGAGCAACAGACCCGCACGGGGGAGCAGGAACAGAGAAGCAGCAAGGTGCGGAGACACCCCGCAGTCACGGGGACGCGCACCCAGCTGACTTCGGGGGACGCGCCGCTCCAGGACGGCCCTCGGGGAAGCATGGCCACGGCAGCGGCGGCCAGCGCCCCGCGGGAGCACGCTGCAGGGCCGCAGGCTGGAGGCCGGGCGCTGGCCCTCCCGCAGCCGGCCGCCGCTCTGCTGCCCCGACTCGCCTGGTGCTCCCGTGTTCTGCCTTGGCCCCAGCTGGTGGGGCAGGTGCATCGTTAGGGTGGGCACAGGTAGGGGAGGCCCCCCACTGCACCCCAGGGCTGCAAGCTGACACCCTGGGGACTTTCCCTTAGGCCTTGAGCGAGGCAGAGTCAGCAAAGACACGGCCTAAGGCGCAGGCCGCCCTCCAGGCCGCCGTCCCCAGCGCCTGTTCTCGGCCCTCTCGCTTCTGGGCCCGCAGTGACGCCCCCACTCCTGGCCTGCGCGGCCCCTCCCCCGCTGCTCCAGGCGACTCACGCCCAGGTCCAGCAGGCTCCAGGGCTCTGGGCCCTCCCACCGCTCTCCCCCACTGTCCTCCACTCAGCTAACCCTCCCGCAGACGGGGCGACGGCGAGCTCTCACCTGACCGGTGTGGATGCTCCCTCTGGACGCCTGCCATCGGCAGGACTGGGGGCCTCTCCCAAGCGCC